AGTCCGGCGGGGGCGGGCGGGGTGTTGGGCTTGCGTCCCCGTTGCACATGTAGCGACACAAAGACGTGCGACACTCCAGCCAAAACGGCGGCGCTGGGGTTTGGGCGAACTAAATCCTCCGGCAAAGGCCAAATGGGCCTGTGGGGGGTGCTCGGGGGGAGGGCGTAGGCTTTTTGTTGGAGGTTGTTTGGGGCACCCTGTGTCTCCTGTCTGTGGTGCCTCGGGGAATCTGTGTCCCGCCGAATCTCTGGGGGTCGCTCCGGGTGGCCCTGACCCACACAGAGACACACACACACACACACACACACACACACGCATTCTCTCTCTCAAACACACAATCTCTCTTTCTTTCCCTCTCTCTCTTATTATCTCTCTCACTCTCTCTCTCTCTCTCTCTCTCTCTCTCTCTCTCTCTCTCTCTCATAATCTCTCTCTCTTTCTCTCATAATCTCTCTCTCTCTCTCTCTCTCTCTCTCTCTCTCTCTCTCCCCCCCCCCTCTCTCTCTCTCTCTCTCTCTCTCTCTCTCTCTCTCTCTCCAGTGTCTGTCCCATATTGTCCAACCAAAGTAAGCCCGGGGGGCATGCAATGATGACATTAATGACCACACAGCGATAAGGGACGTAAAAACTTGAGGTATAATATCCAAGTCCGTATATTTATTTCCCTTTGGACGTGAGACGATCGTATCGCTGTGTATTACTCCTAATTTGATTAACCGAGAAATCTGAAAGAGCCCCCCACCCCCCACCCCCCTCCTCTACTTCTGAAATAAACGAAAGAAATAATATTATAGCGTATGTGGCGGTGGACTGGTTAGGTGATTCACCGTCACATGCTGAAGTTGTGGGTCTGATTTACGTGAAGAGAATGTGTTTTTTTTTAAATCGATTGAGCTTATTAAGTTATTTCCGTGTGATCGGTTGGGACAATGTATCTCTTTCAGTCCGGGTCGGCCCTGAAAAACAGGATTGCAGCAACCTGACTCCTAGATTATCTAAACTGTGTCGATGTGGGAGTAAAACACCTACAATAAAATAATAAGATTATTGCGATTGGTTGTAGGTCTGTACATAAAATACCTACAACCACAAGCGCACGCACACGTACACATATACACACACACACACACACACACACACACACACACACACACACACACACACACACACACACATACACACACACACACACACATATACACACAAACGCACACACACCCATACACGCAAAAGTACACACAAACGTGTCAACCTAAAAATCATGCACTATAAAATCAATTTTAACGCATGGACCTTTCAAAATGAACGCATGGACCTTTCAAAATGTCTTTATTCAGAATTTCCAATTTAAATAATATGAAACATAGACATGATTACGATACATTTTTTTGCCTTTAAGTTTGTGAAAAGTCTTCAAACATACACAGTGGTGTGAAACTCAAGAACATCGTGTTTCATAGTGGTGAAGTCAGGAACTCGTCAAAATGATGAAATGGAATAAACCAACATTGTTTCGCTCGTTTAGGATTTTTTTTTTTATCTCAACATCTTTTAGGTCTTTTGAAATACTTATATTTTGGCAGTTTTTATGGAAAAACGAAGGTCAAAGCAGAAAAAAATGTTAATGTGTAGTTACAGTTTCTAAGGATACTCGAACTTTGGAGGTCACCAAAACTTTGGCTGCCATTTCCTCGTTAATTTTCCCTTTGGCACCCGGCAACTTTCACTTCCAGCAATTGTAAAGATCCCAACTTTTATTCTTGATGGATGGGTGCTTTTTCATCCCATTCAAGACAAATAAACAAGCTTTAGATTATATAAAAAATTCTATATTGCGCACAATAATTGACGAGCCCCTGATTCCGACACGATATAAAAATAAATAATAAAAAATAATTCTTCTATGTGTTGGTGTTTGAAAAGCAATTAATAGTCCAGTCACAGACAGTCATCAAATGAAATGCCATCGTACAAATCCTTTTCTCTTTATCACTACGTCGCTTCCTTCTCCTTTCTTCTCTCTAACTCTCGTTCTCTTCTCTGTCTCTTTATTTCTCTCTCTGTCTGTCTCTCCGTCTCTCTCTCTCTCTCTCTCTCTCTCTCTCTCACTCTCTCTCTCTCTCCCTCTCTCTTTCTCTCTCTCTCTGTCTCTCTCACGCACTGTCTCTCTCTCTTCATCTGTCTGTTTCTCTATGTCACCGTCTCTCTCTCTGTCCTTCTGTCTCTGTTTTTCTGTCTGTCTCTCCCTCCTCCTCCCCCTTCTTTCTTTCTCTTTTTATCACACACACACACACACACACACACAAACACACACACGCACACACATGTACACGTACACACAAACAAACAAACACACACCCACAAACAAACACATACTCAAACAAACACACACACACACACACACACACACACACACACACACACACACACACACGT